GCCTGGTCATCAAAGGCTTTAATATCACTCTCATTTCAAATATACAGTTGTCCCTTGATCCTCCACTGCACAGTGATCACTAAAGATAAAATGAAACAGGGAAATACCCAACCCAGTCTGTTTTGCAATTTGAGAACATATATAGCCAAATATTAGTTGAATGTAGAGAATGACACTTGCTAAAAAGAAAAATAGAAACATTGAGATAATTTGTGTCCCTTCTGTGAAAAGTCAAGTATTTTGTCTTAACTTCCAGAAGAGTAGTTGTAACTTGTAGAAATTAACAACTCAGCACATATTTTGCTTTCCACCAAGACAGATATCGATTTTTCTAAAACTTTCTTTTATTACAATGCACCTTATTAAATGAATCATCATAAATTGGTATCATAGAATAACATTCATTCGTATTTTCTAATGTTAGCATACTTGTTATCCAACCTTTAGAGAAGGCTCCTAACAACCACTCTGCTCAAACTCACCTGATAGGGATTCATAATTACTCTCATTAGCAGGTATTACCCCACATATTATTTATTACCTATCTTAAGTCCTTCCGTGGCTAAATAATCTGGCCTTAGGCAGGTTTTTCAAAGTACCATGTGGTAAATTCATTCTGTATCAGTGATGCTAGAACTCTCCTGAGGAATTGGCTCATTATCATTGGAATTCTGATGCTTTGCCATGCTCAGTAAGTCTTTACTAAATCGAAATGAGGGGGATTTGTTTTCAGAAAGTTTTAGGCAATTTAAAAATAAGCCAACCTAGACCACAGTATAATTGATTATAGAGTTGGCTACCTTTGTTGAGTACCTGCAATGTGCCAGCACTTCTACAGTAAACCATATGGGAGTAAAGATGGTCCAGAATATAGGCATTTCCCCCAAAGCAGTGAGCATACCTATCAAGTACTTCCAGTGACAAGATTTTCATCAGAATCCATTTAAATATGTTTTATCATTCCATCAAACTTACTTTTGATAGTTTATCATGAAAATGTAAAATGCATTAATCCCATAGCATAAATAGTGACAGTCAACCTGTTCTCTCCATAATTATACAAAAATGAAAGGTCCACATATAGTTGATTTCTCAGTAATAATAAAAAGAAACATCTTTCCTAAATTTAACCCCAAATCTGAATTGTCTCATTCAGTTTAAGTCTCAAGTGAAATTACTGGGCAGTGACTCTAAAGTACATCCTGGATAGTAGGTACATCTGTCCTCCTTTCCACGTCAGAATCTTAATTCATTCTCTTCCCACAACAGGCTGGGGCTCATGTAGATTAAAGAAGTTGTTTGGGATTTCACCACTGCCCTCTGGAAGGAAGCAGGAGGTCCAAACATACTGCCATATTTAGTTGTTACTACTGATGGACTGGGGGCAGGGATTGTCTCATTTCACCTCAGTGTCCCCACAGCTCTAATACCTTGCCCTGCACCTGTGAGATTAACAACATTTCTTTTTTTCCCACATTTAGAATGATTTAGGTAGTTTATAACAACCACCAAAAAATTAAAATAAAAAATCTATAATAGCTGGTGCTAGGTGAATGCCCATTTGTGCTAGCCTGTGGGTTATTGGTGGTGCTTCATTTTAAATCCTTGCGAGAGGCCTGGAATACCAGAGATACTGTTCCCATACTAGAGGTGAGACAAATGGGCTTTGGCTCTGTAAGTACAGAAGCAGCTGTGTGGTCCTTCAGTGAGATTCTGTCTGATCTTCCGTGAGCCAGTCCTGAAGCCACTCATAATCACCTCAACTTCAAATAGGAAAGGCAGAAATTCGTGTTTGTAGTCAGTAACTGCAGCCTTCTGGTTCTTACACACGCAGAGGGAACAGTCTTCATTCTTCATCTCCCATGCTCAGCTCTGTGCACAAAGCCGAGCCTAGCCAACAGTAATTCTCTCTAGAAATGCCTTGTGAGATTTTCTCTCAGGAGAATGAGGTGGGAGAAGGAAGTGCTGTTGTCAGAGTAAAAGACTTGGAGAGAGGAAAATAGAGCTAGCTCATTTGCATTAGCTAATTAGAAAAAATCATTTCTATTGTTCTGTGTCTTTTTTTCCCCTCACTATACCTCATATTCACATCCAATATTGAAATTAGAAATTATTTGTATAACATGTGCTTAGAAATGAAAACCTAATATAATATTTGCCAGTGAATGTGAGCCCTCAAGTTTAGCCCTCTGAAGTCAGATGAAACTTGTGCAGGCCACTTGAGAACGGTTGGAAAAAAAGCCAAGGAATAAGTGTGGTACAGGCTGACACAGGGAGGGGAAGTATTGAGTCACTGCAGGACCCCATATGTGCGTGTCTATATGTGTTAGAATATTTATTTTTCATAAGCTCCCTCAGAATATATTTCTGAGGGAAAATGACAATGTTTTGGATGTGTTCTTTTTGTGTTTTTTTTTTTTAATTGGTTTGGTTTGGTTTGGTTTTTTGGCCCACACTGGGGATTGAACCCAGGGCCTTGCACATACTAGGTAAGCACTCTGTCACTAAGCTACACCCCCAGCCCTGAAAATGGTAATGTTTAAATATTTTTGCTAAAATAAGATTGTTCCCAATTTTTAAAGTTGTTTTTGAAACATGTTAAAGCATTTGATTTTGGTAAAGAAAAAGATTATTTAAGTTGAATATGGAAGCAATTGTTTATCATTTAGCTGGAAGTTTTTATAGAGTATTTACTCCTTAGAGTAATACTTTTTGGTATTTCTTCTAAAAACAGTCAGAGTCTAAGCCATTGATAGCTACAGTTTAATTCCTACTTCTAGTAGTTTGTGAGTAGTATTACCTCAGCTTTTCTTGCATCTTACAGATGGAACAGATTTGTAAATAGTCATTAAACAGCAGAGTGATTTTTTACAAAGGTTATATAAAAGTTGGCTTCCAGTTCCTCATCTCCTATGTCTTACCTCACTAAACAGTCAAAGTATAACCAGTTCCTAACTTTGAAATGTAATTATATTGAATTTGGTTCAGTGCAATGAATTGCCCTTATAGATCATTTTGTTGCATTAACGTGATGTTTCTGGGTACATCATAGTTATATTTGTCCTCATAGGACTTGATCAGTTGGTTTTGATTTCAAATGATTCCTGTCCAGCTGAAACTTAAATAATGAGTTTGAATTTCTCTCTTGATTCTTTAATTGAGAATATATCTCCCCTCCTCTTGAATATTGCAGTATGAGGCCTACAGATTGCTTTTGTCTTCTGCAGTTTGACATCTATTTCATGGTTTAAAACAAAGCCTTTGGCCTAATTTTTATGATTCTTCCCACCTGAACCATTATTACCTAAGTAGTTTTGGTTCCATTCAAGTGGAAGCCTTTGCTAAATATATCAGATGTGAACTCCTGGACTTAGAAGATGGGCAGAGAGCATATAGAGTTGTTTAACCCTGGGCATGCTACCTTAATTGTCCTTATTGTCCTTGAATAACTGTCTTCTTTTTATGTATTCTTTCTCTTTAAGTCAGAGCATGAGAGAGAAATAAAAACACAAGAATATTCTGTACATCTGGGAAGCATGCAAAATATTTTTTTAATTCTATTAAAACCCAAATCTTCATTTTACTGTCATACTTTTGTTTGTTTTTCATCAAAAAGGTGATGTTTGTGTGGTTTCACCGTTGAAAAAAAAAGCACAGGAATCAAATCTTGTGAATTCAATTTCTGGCTTACTGAATAAATGTACAATAAAGTGTTTTCCTCCTTTTTCTAGTCAAGAAAATTGTGTAGCGGGTAAAAACCTCTGCCTTTTTAGAAGGTCCAGTATCTACAGAAAGAGGAGATACTATCTCTGTGAAATAGATTACAATATTACGCACAGAATGCTGCTAATATTTATATTAAACATAAAGCAAATAATTACCTAATAATTCTATTCACCAGACCAAAAAATTCTCTTATCTGTAGTCATAATGCCTTATTGCCTTTGTTTAAAACCAAAGATTGTGTTTTCAGTTCCTCCCTTTTCAAGGTAAATGATGTGCTTCCTAATATAAAAGAGTTCTAGCAGCTTTCTTTACCTAGAGAAATGCATTTCATTTGGCTTCAGTTAAGAATCACTTCCATTTTTTTTTAAATCTGAGATAGAAAGGGTAAATATATTCTGATCTATAGCCTTACCGGAAACTATAGTGGTGTGTATGTCATTTTTTATTATGCTTTTTAATGCCCAACGGACATTTTCAGTAAATTGGAGGCTTACTGCAGACCTGGAATTATTCTTTGTTGCGTATTAAACTAATTGAGTTGAATACTCTTTTGTTCCACTTCACATAGAAATTGTAGATTATTCATCTCAAATGAATGAATTTTAAATTATTTAAACTTTACACTGCTAGTATATGACCCTCTGAGACCGTTTTTAAGAAACAGATCATTTCCTCTAGACATTACAGGTTTAATTTGTTTTGGATACAAATACCATTTATCTTGTATTTTTTTTTAAAAATACATGCTTATGTTGTTTATTATACTTTGATAGATTTTCAAATTATTTCTACTTTTCTTTAAAATAAGCCTGTTTAGAAATTTTGATAGCTAAATAATAAAACCTTGTGCCTTTTAAATCTTGATGGATGAACACTAACTATCTCTCCATGGAGTTTAAATGCCTAAGTATAATTGTCCTGATGCAAATCATAACGTCTGCCCCAGAACAAATTTGTGATTTTTTTACCCGAGTATTCTGAAGTTTCAAATACCTATATCTCCTTATTTTACTCAGCAACAATCTGCAACTTATTTTTCTCCAGGAAAATTGAATCTGTTACTGCTTAATATTCTTACCAGTTTGAAAAATGTGGTTTATATTGGCATCAGAGCAGTAATTTACATATATTGGGATAACAAGAATGCATGCAAGAAAAAGATCAACATAAAAATGAAATGCAGAAAAGCTGTTTTCCTTCAACAGCAACTCAAAGTAAAGCTAATGGAGAAATTGATGAGCCTCTGCCCTGAATGCGTCACTTGTTTCTTGTAGGTGAAGTGTGACCAGTATTGGCCCAGCAGAGGCACAGAAACCCATGGACTGGTGCAGGTGACACTGCTCGATACCGTGGAGCTGGCCACGTACTGTGTTAGAACATTTGCACTTTACAAGGTTTGCTCTTTGTCTTTTCTCCTCCCTCCCCATTATTTAAAGAAAACCTCTTTTGATAAATCAAATATCTTGAGCCTTTACTTAAATCTTGGTCCCACTGGCAACGGTGAAGAATGATGTAATTCTTCCATTATCGCCCAACAATTTTTCTCCCAGTCTAGTGATTTATCAGTAAATATGAAACCCGTGCTCTGAAGGAAAGTTTCAGCAAATGAAGAATAGATGAAGAAGAACTACTTGTTTCTGTAAAATATAACAGGAGCACTCCAGATGTTCAAACCTGAACCAAGGAATGCTTCTCACCTAAGAATTCAATCTTCCTAAGCAAATAGTTGTCATTTATGAACAGCTTGGGGTTTGTATCTCCAAAGAAYGTGCCTTCTCAAAGGATAATAGGGTGGGAGAAAGGAATTATGATAGCACTTTTAACATTATAGTGTTTCCGTGTTTGTGTAATTCGTCATTACCACCCGAGATGAGGAACGCAGAATTTCAGCCAGTGTTCCTATGTCACAGAACGGTTCCAGCGAGAAGAGAGAAGTGAGACAATTCCAGTTCACCGCCTGGCCAGATCACGGTGTTCCGGAGCACCCCACACCTTTTCTAGCTTTCTTACGGAGAGTCAAAACCTGTAACCCTCCTGATGCAGGTCCGATGGTTGTGCACTGCAGGTAAGGACCACAGAAGGTTTTGGAGGAAACCAAGTTAAATTATTCTTTATCAGATATTTTCTTTTCAACTTGTTGACACTGGGGGTAATAAAGCCTTCATGAATAATATAGATCTCTTTTGGTCAGTTGCCTGTACTGTAATAATAGGAAGGATTTCATACAGATGCATATTGAGACAGAAGGCAACAATGACCCATTGCTATTTTTTCTTTAGGGTAAAAATAAAAACAAAATTAAGCATGCACATGACTATAAATATATATAACAGAAAAGAGTGAAGTACTGACCTTTTAATCAGGGTCAAGTTTAACCTCCTATGTGGAGGAATATTCTTAAAACATATTTACATGTATTGTTTCATGAGCTTTTTTGATAGAAAAGTTTTGCTGTTTATAGGGGAGAAATTGTTGTAAGTATACATGTTTTCAGGGAGAACATCATRTTGCCTGAAGACAAATGCCTTTTATACATTATTAATACCAATTCACACATAATAAATATACTAATTTGTTTAATAAAATATATACCAAGGCATATAGTTTGGAATGAGTACTTTGAGATAATGATCCTGTATTTCTCTTGAAAGGTATAATTTATATTTTTTGCATAATTGTGCAAGCACCCTCTACATCACCACTCAGTTTCTATTATTTGTAAGTGTTCACACATTTTTAATGTCAACTGATTTTTTTACAGTTGTCTGTTTCTCTCTCAAGTATTGTGACTAACAGACTATTGAAAATGTCTAGTCAGATTCTATATATTACTATTTATTTCTATATAAATGTACAGCTCCTATGACTAATTGATAGTCTTTTATTACCTGAGTAATTTAAATATGAAAAATAAATATGGCTTCTTTAATAGATAAATAAAATTCAAGAGTGGAAGTTTATTTTTTTTAAAAAAAAAAAAAGGGCAAGAAAGCATCTGCCATAAGCCACTTCCATCATAAATTAGTAGCATAACTCAGACCCCATATTATCCTACAACATCATATAACAGTTGGGGATCAATAGATACATCAAAATAAAAGTGAAAAATTCATCTGGCTAATTCACACTATAATGGTTCTTGTTAAATAGTGGCCTTGCAAATTCCAAACAAGATGATGTACCTTTTCTAGCAAATGTTTTTCCTGATAAACAGTAACATTAGCATTACCTTACATTTATGTAGAGTATTTCACAAACTTGACTTGAAAGCATTCTTCTTGCTTTATTTTGTCTGAAGTTCATAACAACACGTACAGTCAAGTCAGCCTAAGTGACAGTCTACAGGGTTTATTTGAGTATTGCTAATTAAGAAGACGGTGGGGCAGTCATGCCTCATTATGTAGTTCTTGCTTCCCTATACCCAGGAAGGGGCCTTTGAGGACTGGTCACTTGGTTGTAGTTTTCTGCATGATTATGAAACATTTAAATTTCTTTTCATTATTTCAGGTAAATACTTTTCCATCTAGAAAGCATATTTGTTTCTCCTACCTATTGCTTTAGCCATTATGAATTTGACCAGGCTGTATACTGTTATCTAAACATTTTTCCAGGCTTCAAAGATCCAATGTAACTGGTTACATGGTACCCCTGCTTGTGTTAAAGATCAGGCATGACACATGAAATGTTTTAAAATGGAGTTTAGCCAAAGATAGAGACATGAGAAATTTGAGTTGGTAGGAGAAATGTTGTCCTCAAATGACTAATGTCAAAAATGAAGTTTTCTTTCCCCCACCCATCCATGCACGTGTGCATGCACACACACACGCAAAGACAAGTGATTATAGAACCCCTATTAAGTAAATGGTATTAAATAGATAAAATAGGAAGAACAAACATTAGAGAAACCTAACTTGGAAATTTTTATTTAAAAAAGCATTACAGTGTTTGCATTGCATTTTGAAATACAGTATCTTCCCTCTCAAAAAGTGTTTCTGTTTCGGTAAAGTAGGCACATAAGAAAACTGAAATAGATAGGCAGTCTTAAGATGAAATCTGTCTTCAGCTGATAATAGGCAAGGTGTGTATGCTTCACATTGGCCACTATGAGGGATCCAAAGAAGTTTGCAAGCCAAGAGGACAGAAAAGATAGCTAGGGTGCCTGATTTTGATAACATACATCACACACACGAAGGTACCTCTATGTAGTGGTGTCAAGCCACCTGGACTCACCTCTGAGATATGCAGGCTGCTCAGGAGAAATAAGGAAAGAAAGATGAATGTGAAGAGCTAATAGCTGCTGACATTTGGAAGTGCCATGCCTGAGGCTCTGGAGAAGCTGCGTATTGAAACAAAAGGAGAGTAAGTGTATTGATGGAAGAAATTTGTTAGAAACTTCAAAACAATAGGGGAAAGATACAGCATAAATGGAGCTGTGTTCACCCATAGGTAATTTCATATGTCTGGTAAGACATGTTGGCCTCTGCGTAGAGGTCCTGTCAACATAGTATCCAAACCATCATGAGTCCTTGACTTGGCTACAAGTATGTTAAAACTTGAGAGCATAATGTTTCAGATGGAGTAGCAGATTAATGTCATTCTAAACAACAATTACTCATGTGGTGTCCCAGCAATGTTAGTTTAGAAAAATTAAAGCTATTTCTAAATAACAATTACCCATGTGGTATCCCAGAAACTTAGTTTAGAAACCATCTCTAAGCAGTAAGAAACTAAGCAAAAAGCCACAAACACCAAGTTACAAAAGGGCATAGTTATGATCATGTTACAAATAATCATGAAAAGCACCCTGAATAAATACTTTATTTCTTGTTTTGATTTCTCTTTCAGTATACCTGATTCTTTTCTCTCTAAAGAACTAGCAACCAACTCAGAGTTAATCTAAACTTTCCATCAGATTCAGGGAGAATGTAGGAGAATTCAGAGGAAATCTGGTAGTATCCAGAAAATTGGGGCTTCACATTTCTCCCATAGTTCTAGAGTAATACATGCATTAGGATTAATAAAAACCATTAAGTAGTGGAAATTCTAGCAATAATAAAAAAGAGTTATAGGGCTAACCTAGTGCAACAAGCACAGACAACAGTCTTAATGTTGAAAGTGTGCACTCAGGGGAAATTTGTGTGGGAAAAGGCCAGCTTGTTTAACACATTGGTTTTATGCCTTTGGGGAAATTATTTAATCTGTTAGCCTCTGTGTCTTCACTTACAAAGTGATGTAACACTATTTATAGCAGTAAGAGTTTCATGAAACTCAAATGTAATGATATGTAACGACACACATACAGCACTGAGGTCAAGGCTTGCTATTTAGAAGTTTGCAGTAGTGTTGAATTATTAGTAATTCATTATTGAGTGAGATTTAAGAACCATATGTATATTTAAAATGCTAAGGAGAAGAATATACCATGAATGCACATATCATCTGCAACCAGATATTGATAAATATCCAAATAAGTAAATTAAATGGATTTTTTAAAAATTTCGACTTTTTATTGTAATACATCATATTTTTCTGATGAACAGAACATTTTAATGCTGTGAATTAGATTAATAACAAATCTGTTTTCGTAAACACATGTAAAACCACTGAACTCTAAAAATGGTGCTACTCAGGACATATGGAACTCAATGCTGTGGTTCTTGTGCTTCTTCGAGATAAAGTCTGAACTTCTTCTTATATTCATGGTCCAATATGACTTAAGCTGATTTTGCCCTTCACCCATCCTTCATTGTTTGGGCCACCTACATCAGCTACAAATTCCAAGGACATTCACCCTTGGCGCTCAGCAAGCAGTATTTATGTGGCCTGGAACTCAAGTACTCCCCCTCTCTCCTAGGGGATATTCAAACCTTTTTCATAATCCAACTGAAGTAGCACTTCCAATATATGACAAAGGATGAAAGCTGGTTTAAGATGGTTTTGTTGATATATATGGTAACTTTATTCAACTCTGAGCAGGAATTCATTAAAACAGGAACACACTAACCACTTTTTCAAACCATCCCCTTTCCATATTGTTTTATCTACCTCCAAATTTATCTGTCTGTAGCATTGCTTCTACTTATAGATATTTGAGTTATAACCCAGGAGAAGCCTTTTAAGCTCATTCCCCATTCCTCTTCACATAAGGAAACGTAAACACTTTATTGTCTGAACTCTCCTAAAACAAGTTCATGTTTAGCATGTGTATAGGTCATATGTGCCTTGAAAGCATAGAGTATAAGCTTAGCTTATGTGCATTTGTGCCCAGCTCTTACACCACAGTACCATGTGCCCAATAATTGACTCTTCAAGTTAGTGGCATTCCATATTTTAGAATTTTTTTACAGAAATAAGTGAGATAGTTTCAAAGCTGGGCTTTTTTTTTTCTTTTAACATAATAGGCTATAAGCCAAGTAAGGTGGCACATTCCTATAATCCCAGCTACTCAAGAGGCCAGTGCAAGAGAATCAAAAGTTTAAGCCCATCCTGAACAACTTAGTAAGGTCCTATCTCAGGGTAAACAATAAAAAGGGCTTGGTCTATAGCTTAATGATGGAGCACCACTACATTCAGTCTTCAGTATTTTTTCTGTTTATGTCTTTTTACCTGTGCTATGGCGTTTACCACCCAATCATCCTTGTCAGTACATATGTTGTTATCCCATTTCACAGAAGAAAAACCAGAGGTCAATACAGGTCAGTTTACTTGCCTGAGCTCATGGCACTAGTGGTGGCAAAGCCATCATATTTCCTGGGTTGCCTCTAGACCAAGCACATTCTCAAGTCTTCAGATCTCTTTATGGTTCTCTCTTCCCCTTCTGCTGCCCACTGGTAGGATACCTCACTGTCCATCCCTCCCTGATGACCTGGTGAGAATGAGCCCCTCTTCCTTTTCTGCCTCCACATCACTTTGCCAGATTCTAGCCTTTCTTTCACTCTGTCTATATCAAAGGCAGCTGCTAACATGTGATTCTCTTTTACCCCTGTAATCATTTTAACATAAACAGTCATAATAGCTAGCAGTTACTGAGCCATTACTGTTTCACAAGAATTAGTAAGTACTTCA